TTCTCGAGCTGAAAGTGGATGACAAAAAGTGCGAACACACACACAGCCTCTTGCCAATATGCGTTTTTGCGATTGCAAAAGTGCGAACACACACACAGCTTCTTGCCAATATGCGTTTTTGCAATTGCATATATGCAAAAACGCATAAAAAATAAACAAAACAGACCAAGTGCTTCATATTCAATCCCTTTGAGAAGTAGAGGACCCGAGTGGTAGTGCGTTCCAACAGCAATCACCCGCTGACAAAGCTGTCGCAGGCTTCGCTTTCGAAAGTTTCGAAGCAGGCTGGTGGCAGGTATGGAACCCTAGCTTATACCAGTACTAATTTACCATTGAAACGCATTAACGAATCCTGGAGAAACTAGTTGTCCACAATTAGTGAAGTCTAATCCTTGATTTCGACCTATCACTGCAGGACAACAACGCTACTTCTCACCCTGCTATACCTGCCAGAATGTACTGCTTAAAAAATAAATTCCGCAGAATCAGAAATATGATAGTAATGTCCACTGAGGTGATGAGGTTTCAGTTTTTTGGTAGATAATAGGAATGTTCTCTCTCTCCCATCTGTTGAGCAACGGACAGCATTGCCAGCAGTTGTTTGCCAACTTTGATGTGTTACCATCCAGACAACTTCCGAATGTCAAAGTAAGAGAGATGTTGGCTTTTCAAATTTAAGCAGCTGTCGTGGAAAAATTCCAGCTCATCCTGTAATTTCCGGCTAAATTATAAACATTATCAGGATCAAAAAGATTTGTAGTCCCGTGCTGCTACATTGATAAGAAGTCAAGCAAATTAAAAATCCAAGAGAATTTTTCATCGGAGAATCGAGAAGACTTAAAGAATTCCAAAAAAATCATCTGAGTGCACAATTATTTTCAGGTGAAATCAAAACATCTGAGCCAAAATTCTTAACAAAACAAAGTAGCTAGCGAGAGTAACGATTTTATGCACAAAAAAAATGTTTTGGGACAAACCAACTTGCAGCTCTGGATTTCCGGACTTGAAAAGCCCTAAACTCATGTTAACCCCATAATCGCGGAAAGAGTAGTAAACTTAAATTTTAAAACTAAAATTTAAAAAAAAGTTAAGAAATGATTTTCTTTTCCATCCGCTATAATAACAAATCCCAAAGATTGACTGAGAAAAAGCAAAACTGGCCGAAAAAAAGCCGTGCAAATTTTCGTTCAGGTGAATCAGCGATCCATGGGAAAAATTAGTTTTTCTATTGCCCGTTGCTGGAACGATGCTTTATCAGTCTTTATAAACAAAAAACAGTTAATATATGCGAGCAACGGCACCACTGATGGTGCAAATCATAGTGTATGACCAGGGAAATGTTCTGGATGAACAGCAGCAATGTGTTTCTAGGACTCTATACTTTTTTATTGATATATGTAAGTTTTCAA